CTAGAGATGCAGAGTTTGGAAAGGGGGGGGAGACTGTCACTAGAGATGCAGAGTTTGGAGAGGGGAAGGAGACTGTCTCTAGAGATGCAGAGTTTGGAGAGGGGGAGGAGACTGTCTCTAGAGCATTAGTTGGTCTGGGCAGGCAAGCCGGTCACCTCATTGGTATCAACCCTGCCTGAGCCTAGGTTCCAGGAGAAGAGCCCAGCACCCAGGAAGTGATTGAATTTGGGGCTGGTCACAGTGTTCAGCCTGCTGGAGTGGGCAGCTTTGTAGTGGGCTGGATTATCCCGTGGGGCTGACCACCTAGCTTTTCTAAGGTGGAAAGAAGAGCTATAACCATTCTTTCTCTTGTTTCCTTGATTTTCACCAGGATGGCTTACGAAGGTTTTCAGGAAATGAGTATGTTCTTGCAACCAAAAGTAAGTTCTCTGTTTTTAACCTCTTAGGTCACTGTAACACTGCAATCCAGGTTAAATGATGGGACCGGTTGTTCTCATCAGTAAGTTCTGGGTGTGTCCTAAAGCCTCAGCAGCAACGCCGCCATTTCCAATGTAGCACTGTCCTCACCCTGAGCATCAGATGCCATGAACCTACTAATGTTGTTTTCCAAATTATATCGCCTTGCAGACCTTCAGCCATCTTCCAGCAGTATTCCCACCCCCATCTCCCTAAATGACATCCCACCACGGATTGCCATGGCCATAGAAAATGAAGAACAGTGGGACTTTGACATCTTTGAGCTGGAAGCAGCTACTCAAAAAAGGTGCGTTGAGCAGGTTTCCCGGGGCCTGGACAGGGAGCCCCCGGAGCAGCGCTGGTGTGCGTGGAACTGTTCCTCGGGTGAGGACGGAGGCTGAGGAAATAGTGGGACTTCAGGTTGCCCTGAGTCCTTGGGCCACAGGCAGCTTGCCTAGCTGTGATTGTTAGTTTTGTGCAGCTTGTTTATGGTGCGAGGAAAGCCACGAGGTACGACAGAACCCACTCTAAGAGTTAGGAGAAGGAAGAGAGGGAAGTGTGCTTCGGCCTATGGAAGGTTGTGCATGGAGAGGGTTGATGAAACTAACGAACTCAGCTCCTGATTGCCATGCTGGTGGCCCACACGTGGACACCCCACCCTAGTTACATTCATGGCTTTTGGTTGCAGAGTAGGAGGCTGGGTTTTACCGAGTAAAAGCTGTCAACCACAGGGGTCTTGGCACACAGGACTGGACATCCACAGCCAGTGCCAGCCAGGGTGTGGTCTGGTTTGGGGAGAGATGGATCTGCTGAGCTGTGGGATGACTGACAGGTCTCATCCCACTGGGTGATCTGCCTATACGGAGACTCCCACTTCACACAGCCAGGCGGAGTGGACAGGCGGATCCCCGTGACAAGTGAGCCTCGGAGCTCCTAGTTTACACACCAGAACCATCACAACTATGAAAACTGTATTAAGGATGGCCAGGTTGAGTCTTGTAATGACCTCTGAGATGGCTTCTGTGGGACAGATTTCTTAACCTTCCAAGCCAAGCCAGTAAATCGAAGTGCCATCTAAGGAAGGGCCTTACTTTCGGGTAGCTGGTCAACCTCTCCGGGTAAACTCCGTTAGACTATAGCTCCTCCCTCCAGATTCTTGAGGCCATCAGTCACATGACCTTGTCTGGGTCCAGTTTCCAGGTCCAGTGGTTATCTTTCTCTAGACAGGGCATGAGTAGTAACATGTGAGAACAGGGTTACAGGCAGCATGTTGAGTCTGGGAAAGAGAAGGTTCTGAGGATTCCACTGATGCAAGCACGGTGGAAAACTTCACCCCAGCAAGTGAGGATGCCCGCAGAAACTGTCACGCTGCCCCCTCCCACACCGAACGTGCCGTGCAGTGCCGACTGGCTGCCCCGGGTGCTCTGCAGTTGGCTGGGATCCGCTTGTTGGTCCTGAGTCTGTCTCTCCCATGCTCAGGGCACTGCTGCTCTGCTCTGTTTTATACTGTGGACATTTTTCTTTGTAGGCCTTTGATTTATCTAGGTCTCAAAACATTTGCTCGTTTTGGAATCTGTGAATTCTTACAATGCTCCGAGGCAACGCTGAGATCGTGGTTTCAAATTATTGAAGCCAATTATCATTCTTCTAACCCCTACCACAATTCCACACATTCTGCGGATGTGCTCCATGCCACTGCCTACTTCCTTTCCAGAAACAAAATAAAGGTAAGCTAACGTTCGTGTTCCGCCTTTACCAGCAGCGTAGGGAGAGTCCAGCACGCCTGCTCCTGTTGTTCTCACCCTGTGGTAACAGAAATGCTGGGTCCTCACCTGTGTCGGCTCCGTCACACAGGAAGCCGGTTGGTAGATTCATCTGTAGGCTGCATGCACCGGGCGTGGTGGCGCACCACTGTAATCCCAGCACTCGGGAGGCAGAGGCAGGCGGATCTCCGTGAGTTCAAGGCCAGCCTGGGCTACCAAGTGAGTTCCAGGACAGGCTCCAAAGCTACACAGAGAAACCCTATCTTGAAAAAACATTGGGGGAAAAAAAAAAAGAAGAAGAAGAAGAAGCAGCTGCAGTTCCCGAGGAGAAAGCCAACAGAGCCAGGCCAGGCCTGTCCTTTGGGGGAGAGGGGGTTCACGGTGGGCACAGTGAGCCTCCTTAGGATGTTCGCCTGTGCCACGAGCCCGGGCCCACTCCCGTCCATTCCTCAGCTCTCCCGTCTGACCATCAGATCCGGGTAGACTGTGCTCCTTCTCATTTTCCCACCCAGTGAGGGAGGCCCCGCTCACTCCCAATGTTCCCATCTCGTTCTTTCCAAGGCAGCACGTCTGACTGTGACCACCATGAGCAGCTTCCTTCTCCCTCAGAAACACACCCCTGTGATGAATTCGCCCTTCATTACCTCCCCTCCCTACCCCCACCCCACCCCACCCCCTGTGCCTCAGACGTACAGGCCAACTGTTCAGCAACCCTGGGCTGCGTGCTGTGAGAGAGAGCTAACCTCTAGCCCCATTCTTATATTTGAGAGCTCGAGACCAAGTCCATAGGTGGGGTAAGAATCCAGAGAACGGACTGTTTCCTCAGAGACAGGTGGCCAGGGAGAGTCTGGGCTAAAGTGTCTTAGCCTCTAAAGAGCAATCTCTGCTTGGGTCTGTTGCTTTTGAACAAATATATTCAGAGCTAGCTGAGAACAATGTATATGGTTCTAAGACAGGGTCTTGTGTAGCTGAGGCTGGCCTGAATTCATTGTGTTGTCTTGAATACCTTATCCTCCTGCCTTTAGCTTCCAAATTGCTGGGGTTGCTGGTACACACAAAGCCAGACCTTGCTTATAATGATAGTCAAAGTATTTATTAAATTCACACCATAGAGTGTTCCTAGCTAAAGTGAAAAATTACAGAATTTTAAATGAAATTAATTTATAAAACAAGTTTATTAGATATATACCTTATTTTCACATGTTTGTAGAATACTTCCAAATATGATCCCCCAACCCCCAGATGAGGACTGAACCCAGGGCCTTGCGCTTGCTAGGCAATCGCTTTACCACTGAGCTAAATCCCCAGCCCATGATCTTCTTTTTTAAAGTGTGCGTGCACGTGCACACCTGAGAACATGCATGCCCACCATAGCATGCACATGCACATGCACACCTGAGAACATGCATGCCCACCAAAGCATGCACATGCACACCTGAGAACATGCATGCCCACCATAGCATGCACATGCACACCTGAGAACATGCATGCCCACCATAGCATGCACATGGAAGTGAGAGGACACATTGGGAAAGTTCACTCTCCCCACCACTGGCTCTCTGGGATCAGCTCAGGTGGTCGGACCTGATGGCAAGCTCTTTTAAGTACTGAGCTGTCTTGCCTGCCCTTCAATATCTTTTTTTAAAATGCATTTATTTATTTTATGAATGCTCTGTCTACATGTATGCCTGCATGCCAGAAGAGGGCATCATTTCTCATTATAGATGGTTGTGAGCTGCCGTGTAGTGCTGGGAATTGAACTCAGTCAGTGCTCTTAACTGCTGAGCCGTCTCTCCAGCCCTGCCCTGCATGTCTTACACTAGGCACACTGTTTTGAAGGTCGGTTTACAGCTCTGGATGCTGAGTCACAACAGAGCTAGATTAACAGTTAGTGGCTGTCAATCATTCCATATGCAGAACAGCTGAGAAAACTCAGATCCACGGAGAAATAAAACCAAAACGACAGATGCTTTGAAATTTTTTCCTTTTCTTAATTATTTTTTTTATGTTATGTGCATTGGTGTTTTGACTGCATGTCTGTCTGTCTGTGTG